GCAGTAAGGATGCACAATGCAAATGTGAGGAATGACCTTAAACTGGCCTTGCACTCTAAAATTCAAGAGAAAAATATTTTTTACACTACAATATTATAGTTGGCCATAGGAGATTACTGACCTGTTGTGCCAAAGTTTTCCTTGTTCACACAACTCATCTGCTTGGCATAAAGCATTGAATTACCAAACTGAACCAGATCTTCCACATTGGACATGAATCCCCCTCCACCCCACTTAAGTGAGTTGTCAACATATGGTGCATTTACAAGATGTCCCTTGCTGTTACGCTGATAAAATCTGACAAACAAGAGGGGATTTCACATCAGGACCCCACATTCCAGTATCTAATCTTATGGTCTTTAATGGCAGCAAATACATTCAAGACCTGACAATGATCATCATCACCATCATCATCATCATCATCATCATCACCATGGTCACCAAATTGGTGTCAGGACACCAGTAGTGGGAGATGACAGTGATCAGCAGGTATTAATTAAATCTCAAATGTCAATAATACAGAGTCAAGTGCATGTATATACTGTCATGATGGGAAAATCCTAAGTCCTAATTAATAAATCAATGGCATTACCATGGTAAAATGTTGTGCATTTAGCACACAGCATCAACTGGTGAATTTCAGAATATTAATGATCCAATCAGCAAGTAAAATCCAATGGCTAATGGAAAACTTAAATATTACCAGGGTATTTAGCATTAAAGTGTAACTTCATACTAGTGACATTGTACTGTTAATACCATTTGTTTACTCACTGCTCATCAGATAAACATTCCATCACTAATCAGCATCAGTGTAAAGTTCAGACTGTAGACTGCAGACTGCAGACTGCAGACTGCAGACCAGGGGTAAAATGCAGACTGCGTTACTGAGGGCCAACCATAAACAGGCTGATCTGAGCATAATTCAGGCTAATCGTAGTTAAAGTCTCTATTCCAGTTAGCCTGAATAGCATTCTGGCTAGCCTTAATATCACTCAGGTTAGTCTGAATAATGCTCAGGTTAGCCTGCTAATGGTTACCTCTCAAAAATAGAATGTTGACATGACTAATACACTTGACTTGCACAAAATCTGCAGTCTGTGTTTTCCCCCTGGTCTGCAGTCTTCATTTTACCCTCAGTCAGAATTTTTCACCCAGTCTGCAGTTTACAGTCCACAGTTTGTGTACATTGACTAGTTTTTATAAGTTAATGACAGTTAACATGAACAAAATAAAATTACCAAAATTAAATTTCATCAATTTTTAATGATCAATGGATAATAAATTTGAGAAGTCAACATAACCTTGCCCTGTTATAAATTATCCTATCATTGAATTCAGCATGTGTATTTTCCATGCCAAGCTCCTTAAACAGTTTTTTCATGAAGGAAAGGAAGTCTTGACTAGATGCACCCTCTATGACGGCACTCAGTAATGTCCACCCATAAGTGGTGTATAAGTAGCTTGTACCAGGATCTGACAGTAGTGGGTCATCTTTGAAAATTGAAATAGCTTCTGTTACGGTGTCATAATGATCCTAGGAGAAGAGAAAAGACAACTTCAATTGACTGAAGTTGTGTTAGGTCTGAACTGGAGAACTGAATATTGGTTGGGTTTATGGACTGAGTCACAGGTAAGGTTGACAAACTTGCCACAATAAAGATGACTTATTAGACCAATATTCCCCAATATAGACCAAATAAATAAATAAATATGTCTTAAGTTTGTGATCTGTTCTTAACCTTCAGTTGGTAAATGCATTCCTCAAAGTTAAAGATATTTGATCTTATTTTCATTTTTCAGTTCATCTTTAACATTTGCTGGCCAAACATGGAGAAAAAATATTTCTATTTGTCTGCAATAACTTATGGCAGTGGATAGCTACACTATATTTAGGTAAAGATACATTTTAGTACAGTTGAACCCTGTTATTTCGAACTTGCAGGTGAAAGAAAAATATGTTTGGAAAAGTGAGAGTTCGAAACAGCCAATAGTAAATGACAGAAGAGAAAATCCAAGGAAAATAGCTTTGAGTTCAAAATAACGGGTTATTCAAAATAACTGAGTTTGAAATAGTGGGGTCCAACTGTAATTTTATTTCAACTTGGGATGGGGAGATTAAATGTTTAGGTGGTTCCAGGCAATATCCATTCTCACTCCAGGGAAGGTCATTGGAAATACCATCGGTGAGTAGGTTTCCAAATGCTAACATTTTTAAAGGAAAGCATGGAGGGGAACTGAGGGGTAGGGAGAGGGTTAGAATTCATTCATGGGAGGTGTGTGGATGTATTCCTTAGAACAACATGTTTCTGCTTATGGGTTTGCAAAAGCTTTATACTGTTCGCTCAGGGCATTTTGCTCCAACCTTAATGTAGAATTCTTCACGTGAATCACTTTGTTGTGTGCAGGTGCAGCTCTTTCTAACTGTACCTGCAGAAATATAAAACTTTATTTTTGGCAACCTATTTTTAAGGGAGGCATGCTGGCGTCATGGTTACTGTGCTTGTCTCCAGATTGAGAGGTCTGGGTTTGAGCCCATGCCAGGAACACTGTATCATGTTCGTGGGCAAGACACTTTACTCTCATGCTGCCTCTCTCCACCCAGGTATATAAATGGGTACTGGCGAACTTAATGCTTATATAGACTAGCATCCCTTCCAGGAGGGGGGAGGGGGAAGTAGAAATACTCCTAGTCACTTCACGTTACAGAAACCAAGATAAGCTCAGACCCAATGGGCCACTTGTCTCATCTGCAGACTTACATGTAACCCTATGTTATTTTCATTTCAATGTGAAAATTCGTGATAGTTACAATACAAAGATCAGTTCATGCTTTATGAGCAGAATGTTCAAACATCCACATAACTAGAAATAATTGACAAGAAAATATACAGTCACATTATTATATGTGTAATAGCACTATTTTTCATTATTATGACATTCTTGTCACCTAAAAAAAATTATTATCAACTAAAATTTGTAAATATCTAACCATATTACTGGCATCAATCACATTTTAAGTTCATAAACATCTTGAAGATGTGAACTGTTTTTCACAAGTCTTATTTAACCTAGTATAATTTTAATGACAATTTTAACTTCTTATCACATGACAAATTTCAACGAATCTTTCAGCTTTAGGTCTCGTTTACAGCCTACTATGGTTTAATAAGCGCCATTCCACCAAGCTGGAGACACACAGTCAAACGCACAGAAATCACAATTGAAAATGACAACGCGTTACAAGAACCTCCTCTGTCTAAGAATTTCACCACCCGTGCTGTCTATGCAGCAATTATAGACCACTACTTCCAACCCCCAACTGCTGAACCAAAATCACTACAATATGGTTTCTCGAAAGAATACTTGAAGAAAGTTTATAACCTTCCCTTTGTTACCACGCTCAAAACAAAGCTTCAAATTTTTCCATATAAAATCATCCACAGCATACTTCCAACTACAATCATGGACAAAAGTCTTGGGACCACTTTGCACTTTTGATGCTTTTGCGCACACGCCAGACGCGAACATTACTTCACCTGCCTAACCTCGCCCCCCACCCCCCATACAACGTTGAAAACTACTACCTGCAATTTCTTCTGATTTTCAACATTGTATTGGGTGGGGAGGGGGAACAGTAACATGTTTTTAAAAGGAAAGCAGCGCTTTTTTCAAACTTCAGTAGTAAAACACAGATAATTCGTTAAATTACATAAGTGTCCCAGGGACTTTTAACCATGATTGTAGCTGTTCCCTTTTCCATATGAAGCTATGCGATTCTGAAATCTGTCAGCTATGCAAAATGCAACCGCAAACATTGCCTCACTTATTT